AGAGGGAGGATGGGGGCTCAGATGAGCCTTGTGTTCAGCGATGAGACTCAATCAGATTTAACAAATCCAGCTTCCTTAAAATAAAAAAATAAAAAACCCCCCCCCCCCGCAACGCCAACTCAGAGATAGTGTTTATATTATTTCAGTGACAAGCCCCATTCAGAACATCTCATAAAGCCTATTCTTCCTTTTTTTCACCTATTGCTCTCTCTTATTCAATATATTTGCAGAATATCCCTGATACTTCTGTAATTCAAGGTATTTAATTAAAGGGGATGGGTTTCTAATAAAAGCCAAATGGCAGATAGCAGTGCTTGGGCTCTTCAGTAGCTTGTTTAATCAGAGAATTGCTGAATGGGAGAGAAGGCAATAACAGAATGAATAGAAGCTGGTATTTGTAAAGAAATGTCAGGCAGAGAGGAAGGATATCAGAGTCAGGCGGAAACCTTTAATATGACGCTGGCTTTAATATGTGTGTCTGTGTTTGATTGGTCAGAGCAGCTGGGAAATGAAGTTTAGAGTTTGATGTAGGCATGGGTTGGTTATTGGCATCAAAGTATACAGAGATTAGAATAATCTATGCCTTTGTAACCAGACTATTCTCGCTGTATGGAGAATAAGTGACTATCTGCCACAGTTCACATTTTAATTCCTTATAAAATAACAAAAATAAGCTCGTTTGGAAATATTTAAAGAACAAAAAAAAATGTGGAACACTTAAATAAATATTAATTTAAAAAATACAGCCTTTAATGGGAGAAAATCCAGATTCGGCTGCAACAGATAATCGCCCTGAGCAGGTTCTGGTTTGAGTTTCTATATGCTAAAGAGGAATAATTCCTTTCTGCTTTTGCCACAAGCTTGCTTAAGATGAGGGATTGCTGCAAAGTTAACAACTCAATTAAAACAACCGTTCATTGTAGCCACAGGCTCAGTCAGGGGGAGGGATTAATGCCAAGTCAATGAGTCGGTGCAGTTGGCCAGCATCCTTAGATAGAGATCTTTTTCTGGCTGGCATTATTGAATAAATTTGGCTGCAGTGTCCTACTGAAAGCTGGAGGGTGGCTGCATGTATTTAACAAAATTTAAATCCGTCCTTAGATGAAACTGATTCTATATTTCTGGACATTAACTAGATATTAACTGTATGTCTTGTTCATTGAAATTTCATTTGATGTAATTTGAGACTAAATTAATAAACCGAATCAAAATGAATAGGCTTAGCAGTTATTGATATCTATGACATGAAGAGGCTTTTGTTTTGAAAGACATCTGTATATACAATAAGGAATATAAGTATTTAAACACCCTGCTATCTTGCAAGTTCTCCCACTTAGAAATCACGGAGTTGTCTGAAATTATAATTGTAGGTACATGTCCACTGTGAGACACGTAATCTAAAAAAATCCAGAAAATGCAATGTATGATTTCTAAAATTTTTATTTGTATGATAAAGCTGCAAATAAGTGTTTGAACGGCTGAGCAAATCAATGTTAATATTTGGTATAGTAGGCTTTATTTGCAAATACAGAGGTTAAATTTTCCTGTAGTTTTTTGCCAGGTTTGCACACACTGCAGGAGGGATTTTAGCCCAATCCTACATATAGATCTTCTCTAGATCAGTCAGGTTTCTGGGCTGTCAGTGAGAAACAAAGAGTTTGAGCTCCCTCCAAAGATTGCCTATTGGGTTTAGTTCTGGAGACTGGCTAGGCAAAACCAGAACCTTAAAATGCTTCTTAAAGAGCCACTCCTTGGTTATCCTGGCTGTGCGCTTCGGGTCATTGTCATGTTGGAAGACCCAGCATCAACACATCTTCAATGCTCTGGGGGATGGATGTTGTTCCCCAAAATCTTGCAATACATGGCCCCAGTCATCCTCTCCTTAATACAGTGCAGAAAAAACACCAAAGCATGATGCTACCACCCCCATGCTTCACAGTAGGGATGGTGTTTTTGGGATGGTACTACAATCCAAAATATTTTGATCTCATCTGACCTCATGACTTTCTCCAATAACTCCTCTGGATCATCCAAATGGTAATTGACCACCTCCTCCCATGTCATTCTGGGCTGATTTCTCACCTTTCTTAGGATCACTGAGATGTAACTTTTTTAGCTTCTTCCATTTGCTAATAATATAAAAAATAAAAGGGAATATATAGCCAACCCTTAGATTTATATTACTCATAGTCAGCGGCGTAGGAAGCGGGGGG